AGGGCGCCGGCGCCGGTCAATCGACTGGATTTCCATGTCCGCTACAGTATGATAACTAACGTTGGGCACAGTGGCGTACTCGTTCTCGTGAGTCTCAGTAAAATCATTCCCTCAATCCCTTTTCTGCACCTTGCCCTCACTCACTTGCATTATACATGTACTCGGATGTGGTGAGTCCAACAGTGGAATCATTTCCAAGTCCACCAATAGTTGGGGATTTCAGGGGGTGTCGACCGTTTGACGTTACAATAGCCATTTGGGGCATCTAGAAGATTCCTTTTGAATCTCTCTCCCCCCTCTTTTGGGGAGACCGTAGGGAACAGTTAGGCAGTGAGCAAGTACAAGTACACGTGTTTGTGTGTGTGTGTGTGTGTGTGTGTGTGTGTGTGTGTGTGTGTGTGTGTGTGTGTGTGTGTGTGTGTGTGTGTGCGTGTGTGTGCCCATGTGTATATGCGTACATGTGTGTGTATGTGTGCGTGTGTGCACACGCACACGTGTGTGTGTGTGTGTGTGTGTGTGTGTATGTGTGCAATGCTCTTCAGATGGCATCGCAATGGGAACCCGTTGCCGATAACGGATGCAACCTTCGGCAATATGGACTCGATCAAGGTAAAGTGACAAACGAGTTTTAACTAGTTTACTCACAACTGATGAAAGCAAGAGGACAGGGAGTTTATGGATGTGTGTGTGCGCGCGTGCGTGCGTGTGTGTGTGTGTGTTCGTGGATGTATGTTTGTTTGTTCTGCATGCGCGTACACACTACACACCCGTCTGTGCAGGCGGCACTGACTGCCGAGGAGCTGGCGCAGTTCCGTCACGTGCCCGGCAAGATGAAGAAAGGAGAGGCTAGCTTCCATCATCCACTCGTCGTACATGGGTCCTTCTCCAACCGGTAAGACGCTAGCGAGAATAGCAGTTGTTGATTGCTATTGCACGGCTGCGCCTTTAATTAAAGCCATACGCAGTGGTCTCTTTATAATCCGGTACCATTAAATTTTGTGCTAAAGAAATTCTGCTGGATTAGAGAGAGTGCTGGTTCAACAAATCTGGTTTCCTGCTGTAATGTGCATGAAGAGGACGTTTTGTTTTACTCAAAATTGTTCTGGTTTATAGTGGGTGCTGGTTTATAAAGTGCTGGATTTAAAAAAAAAGGGACGACTATATTTGAAACACGGTTACACAGCTGCTTTCCTAGCTATTACTTTTTAGATGCAAAACGACTCGCCCACTACGCCATGCTATAACAGTCAAAGTCCACACAGAAATTTCAATCATGTGCGTGCCTGCGCGCGCGTGTGTGTGTGTGTGTGTGTGTGTGTGTGTGTGTGTGCATGTGCACGTGCTCACATTGCAGAACACCTTCACCCCGTAGGGCGTGTGTCGTCAACTACATCGGTGACGGAGTGATCTCCAACACGGACGACTGCTTGCTGGCCGGCACCGATCCTGTTCCCAAGGTAACGGCGCAATAGGCCAATCATCATTCAGGTTACTCATAACTGTTGTAAAATAAAATACACACCTGACAATCTGGCTTCGTTCTTATAGCACGTTCTTAGAAACAATTCGGACTGGATCATATGTATCCCGAAAGCTGCCGGAAAACCGACACCGCTGTTCTTCGGTGCGATACTCTACTCTACCTCCATTTCGTACTGAAAGGTATTTTATTGCTGGTTCTGCCTCCTATGCAGGGTGAACGAGTCCAGGGCCGCTTCTTTCCCGTTGTCTTCGACCCTGCCTGGGCTAAATGACTCTCCTCGACTGCACGCTACCAGTGGAGCGCACAACCCAAGGCTCGCGTGATCACCGGTATGGTCGGAGCCTAGGCTGCACTCCGTGCTGTTCTGTGTGGGTGCATGTGTGTGCATGTTCACGAGCAACTCTCTGTCGGCCTTGTTATTGTTCCTCTCTCTCTGTCTGTCTGTGTTTATTTCGGTCTCAGCACGATGTACCCCCCCCCCCCCCCCCTTATTTCTTGGCCTAGCAGACAGAAGAAGGGCACCGGAGCTCTCTTCCTCGCAGTACACGCACGTCTGCATGTCTACACAATTTTTTCTTGCCACATCACATCCACACATCAGCAGTTTCTGCACCTGTATACTGGGCATCCTCCTCCTCCCCCCCCCCCCCCCCCACACGCTTATAGACCTTATTCGATAACGTGACTTTTGGACTCGCCTCCAGGGATTTGTCATAAGCTAGGGCACGCGTACGAGAAACGAGTGGCAAGAAAGGCCCAGTTTGTACAAAAGAGTAGCAAAATACCGGTATTTATCCACTCCTATGTTCGCACACAGAGTCCACTGTGCACTGAGCGCAGATCTCTTGCCACTCCCTGGTTCCCGGGACCCCGGTTCACGTGATTGTGACGTTTATCGAATAAGGTCTATAGATTGAAGTTATTTCTTGGCCTTGCATACAGAGGAAGAAGGGCACCGCTCTGGATCATTGTGAGTATTATTGTCTCTTCATAGGTTTGTTGGTTTGTTCTCAAAGTTCTAATCGTCCCACTTCTGGTGTCCCATTTTAGCTTTTTTTCTCAGCTTCAACTTCACAATCCTATTAATTTTTCAAAGTACACGTATTTCGAATAATTCTACCTCTCATTCTCCCTGTCATAGGCACAGCATATTTTAAAGTGGTGGGACTGGTTCCTGCCGCTAACTTTGAATCAGTGCTTCATGCATGTCATCACAAAAAAACTACTGATATTTTGCAATTTATGCCGCGGAAGCTGGCTCTTCCGCGTGAAAATGTCTGATTCTGTGTTTTTTTGGAGAGTGTGTGATACGATGACCAGCAGCTGCCCACAGAATGGCAGCTCACAATAGCAAAAATTCCTAGATTGCCTAGAGTGCTCCACACCACAAGGATGGAGCAATATAAGTACCACAAAGTCAGAAGACAACCGAGAAAACCGGCTACATCATTGTTGTAACGCTGCGTGTCCTGCACGTAACAAAGCTAAGGCACAAATTCAGCTCTACAATTAAATAGTTTTAGCTTTAAATACTGTGAGCAAGTGTCATACATTGCACATGCAGACACATCATGCAAGCACCACCATGCCTCCATGGCATGGATGCTCACACAAGGGCATCACCCCTCCTCCTCCTCCCCCCCCCCCCCGGATCACAGGCAGGCAGTGGCACAGTTGTCGAGCAGCGCAATATCTATAATCACACTTGTGCGCAGACAGAAAACTAGCGGCGAGAAGTTTTTTAAGACTTGTGCTGTAAGAATAGTACTTTATGCAGCCATAGCAACCGACTAATACAATAAATACTTCTAGAGGTGGACTTGAACAAGACACCTGTAATAGGGATGGAACGAGGGCCAACAAACGGTAGAAAATAGTTACGGAAAGAGACGACGACATGGCAAGGTTGCCATGACGACCTAGAAGTTACACAATGTCCGCAAACCCAGCAGCAAATCTACATCTTCTGGTAGCGGTCCTCGGTGCCGAGGCCATACTTCTTGCGGATGTCATCGATGCGAGACTGACGCTCCTGACGTCTGTGCGTGCAAGAACACACACGCGCGCGCGGGACAGACGAAACAGAAAAGGAAAGATGCGCAATTAGTGCAAGAACGCCCATGGTGCAGTGAAGCGAAACGGCCCTAGGAGGAATGTTGGTGCGTGCAGTCGTGTCAACTGTGCGAACTCATATGTTAACGCACAGATGATGCAGACGACCACGTGTAGATAAGCCAACACTGCACAATGGACCCGTTGCGCAATGGCGTAATGTGTACCATAACCACCCTTCACAGCCACCCGGGCATGGTCGTCTGGGGTGTTGAACAGTGCATACCGGATCCCAGCGTACTCCGCCGCATCACGCATACATGCCATATTTGGCAATGCACAATGGGTGGATTATGTCCGCAGCCGGGGCTACCCTGACAGGCATGCTCGTAACACAACCACTTCAAGTAAAGAGAAGATCTGACAGGACCTCGCAGACGCTCGACTCCGCCGCATCAAAAGCTATCGAATCTGCTCACTCCAGTTTCCAAGAGTGCAAATTAGCCCAGTCCCGAAATCCTGACTTTGGGGGCTCATGCACAAATTGGATATCACAGAGATACCACTATAAAATTTAGTATATTAAAAGGGAAGAGTAAGGGCTCAATGGACTGGTCAATCACAAATCAGACCTGACTCACCGCAGCAGCAGTTGAAACCAGAGAGTCGTAAAATACCGGTATTTTACGACTCTCTGGTTGGAACACTACTAAAAGTACTGTAAGTGTACAAATTTTCGGCCCATTCAAGTTTCGGCCGCCCAGGGCTAAAACTAGGGGTGAAAGTTGGCACTGAGATCCCGAGTTCGAGTACTCTGATTTTCTCCGATCGAATATTCGAGTATTCGAGTATTCTTCATCTCCTAAAAATTGCACACCAAGGGCCTTAAAATCACATGATAAACAACCCTGATTGAACCGAGTAGCAGTCATTTTTCTGGGGTATATCGGTTCGTGGGTCATTTGGGCTCTCTCTACTCGTTAACAAATGTTCACCGCACAGTCTGCACCTCAATATCTGCCGACTGCTGCTCTGAAACTGCAGATTTCTGTGATAAATGCATGCACCATGTATGAACGAGTACTCTGATTTATTCCGAGTACGATTATTTTTGAAAAAACCGAGCGAGTACTCGAGTACTCGGTATAATTGTTTCACCCCTAGCTAAAACCCATTTCGGCCGCATCAAATTTTCCGCCCGTACTGCTGCCGCCCGTATACACCGTCACACCGAACCTTGCAAAACAAAATTTCGTCTGGAACAAGCTTTCGGCCAAACACGACCAGGCCGAAAATAGCCAAAATAAACATGCGCCGAATATTTGATGACTTTACAGTAGTAGCATTGTAGAGGCAGAAAATTTCGCCGGTCAATAATTTCGTCCAACTCCAAAGAAAAGGAGTTCGTCCGGTTGAAAATTTCGTCCATGGATCATAAGAGTGTATAGAAAAGCTGGGGAAATGGACATTAGTCCTACATTTGATTTAGTCCAAAAGCTCCTTGGACGAAAAAGACGAAATTAAATTCCAGACGAATATTTCTGCTTATACTGTACAGTAGTTGCCATGAAGCAGAACAATGGTCGAATGACCGTGCAAGAAATCACGGAGCACTCCCTGCACCAGGGTATTCATTCTCTGGGATTTGCTACCCGCTCTGGCTGCTGCAGTCTTCGGGGTGGGAGTGTTCAGAATCAGAACACGCGCTGCGCACTCCAGAGCTAGTGCGAACCAATCAAACGCCCCTGCTCTAGACGGTTGCGCTCCGGGTCATCCCAGTCAAACACACCCAGACTATTCTGAAAGCAGAAAAGGCGTCAGAGAACACGCTAACCTTTCTTCTTGACGGCGAGTGCGATCAGCACGGTTGGTGCGGTCTCTCTCATTCTCACGACGGAATCGGCTGCTGCATGCCAGAGAATAGAACACAACGCACACACAGAAGGACATCAAATTCAAGATCTGGAACGGTGATGTGTATTTGTGTGCATGTGCGCGTGTGACGCGCATGATACTGAAAAAGGCACTCAGTCCTCAAGCTGCTTGGGTACGGAGTGTCTTTTTCAGATATCGCCGTTTCCGGCTGGGAAGCAGGGTCTATCTGGCCATCGGTGTGTGTGTATGTGTGTGTATGTGTGTGTATGTATGTATGTATGTATGTATGTATGCATGCACGAGGACAGAGCGATGAAACAAGCAAAGTTTGTCTGAAACCGGTGGCCGGAGCTTCGGTCTGCCCCGTTACATGGCGCAGCACAGTGCACAGCTGAACGTGCAAGGCCAGCAAAGACCAGTCAAGGTCTGTTAAGTGCAGTACGTGTGGCTACTGGAGTTACTCCTGCCGAGGCTTGACGAAGCAGCGCTGCGGCTGACTTGCACTGCAGCCCAGCAGCCAGTCACGGCGACAGCAGCGGAACTTTGCAGACAAGCAGCAGTTTAAAAGATGGGCCAAGGTTGACATGCCACGTGGGCCAGCATCTTTCAAGTCCATTGGTGCATGGAGAACTTTACACAGGTGCAAGTAAGGCTGGCTTACACTTCACCTGCAGTGGCACCACCAACTGAGTGCCCAACACGCGACAGGATCTTTCGCCAGACAAGCGGCCGGACACACCACAGATGCAGCGGAGATACTCGGGTGCGTAGCCCGCATGGGGCACGTACAACCCCCCCCCCCCCTAAAAATGTCGACCTAGGTTCAATATGCACCTGATGACCATGAATGACATGCACTAGCCATCCTACATATGATGCGGCTATGCACTCCCCTCCCCCTAAAAAGGGGGGACCAGCTACATCCCCTAAGGGGGGGGGGGGGGACCAGCTACACCACTGATACTAATCAACCTACTGCTGCTGATACCAGCGACATACTGTTATTAGTACTAGGGCTGAGTCGGGTAGCATCTTCTTCGGGTATCGGGTAGCACGGGTACCCTATCGGGTAATGTTTCCATGGTAACACCACAATGCACCCCTTCCCTTACACACTGGGTAGACATGCGGAGTATTACATGAATTTGTACTCGCTGTCATCTGCGACTTTGGGTTTTTCTGGTACTATTCCGTACCCGTCCAAGCGAGGTCCTCACGGGTAGCACGGGTACCCGACTGCCCGTGCACACCACTAGTTACTATAGAGTGAAGTACTGGTTAGCTCATTCTTCTTCTTCTTCTTCTTCTTCTACTACTTCTACTTGTATCAACCGGAAGGGAAAGCAAGGCGATAGCAGTACTAGTGCACACTTAAAATGTGGATTTCAACAAGCCTGAGGCCTACGGTATTTCTTAGTGTGGTTGTATTTCTGTCTCCAAGAAAACTGGTTGTGCTTTTATGTGCAACATGCTACCTGTCACGGGTAAACTGCACACACACACACACACACACACACACACACACACACACACACACACACACACCTGTTCTGTAGAGCCACTACCACTAGGGTCACGTGGGCCCCGGAGGGGCAGCAGAGAGAGAGAAAGAGCACGCCACCTGATGGCGCTCCAGATGCGAGACTAGTCGGAACCGGCGAGAGCAGACACTCTGCTCTCGCACACACACACACACACACACACACACACACACACCATTGGACGCCCATCGTCGGAGGCGATGATAGCGATGCTACAGCAGAAGCCATAGCAGCTTGTGCTGGGATTGCACCATTCAACAGCTTGCACACACACACACACACACACACACACACACACACACACACACACACACACACACACACACACACACACACACACACTTGTACTTATTGCTCACTGCCAAAACTGGTCACGTGGGTCTCCCCGGGAGAGGGGAGAGAGACTCAAAGGGAATCTTGGAAAGATGACTCAATTGGCTATTGAACCGCCCAACGGCCGACACCCCCTGAAATCCCCCAAACTCTGGGTGGACTTGAAAATGATCCCACTTATGGGCTTACCACACCTCAGTAAGTGGGTGACACACACACACGCGTATGTCCCTACCTGGATCCAGATCGGCAGCAGCAGCAATAGATCATAACTCCGAACAGGATGACGACGAGACCAACCACGACGGCCACCAGGATGAGAAGAGTGAGTCCAGTCACTGTGAAACGAGAGAGAGAGAGAGAGAGAGAGAGAGAGAGAGAGAGAGAGAGAGAGAGAGAGAAAAGAGGGAGGGAGAGAGAGAGGGAGAGAGAGAGAGAGAGGGAGAGAGAGAGATAGCGATAGAGGCATGGAGAGAGAGAGAGGCAGACAGACAGAGTGTGTGTGTGTGAGAGAGAGAGCTCGTATCAGTCAAGTGACTGGAAAAGAACATCTGGGTTCTCACGAAAGCAACATAGCGGGGAAAACCAATATCACTGTCCCTGAAGCCTTTGTCTTAGCCCAAAACAGACATGAATGGAATCGTGTCACTATTGGTAAGATCAAGAGTACATAAACCATAGTGTGCAACTGTGCATATCAGATCTGAAACAAAGCAGTTTGTGCACAACGTCACCCTGATGAGGTCAGCCAAGCTGCGATTTGTGTACAGCTCAAATTTTCGTGTTTCACAGCCCGAAAATCAGCCAAGTTTGCATGATTCTAGACGTCCTGTTTTAGGATTTTGGTGCTTTTGTTTGACTGCGTACGCTGCGTACATCCGCTGAAAAGTAAATTCACCAGGCTATCCGTATTAAAAAAAACCGACATCAGGACAATCTCAGTGACATGCACCACCGTGACTGGTTACGCAACTTTGCACCGTACCTGTGGCTTACCATGCCGTCAGAAATGACGTACTGCACGGATTACGTTTACGGTTGCTAACGGTAACCGGTGGGCTGCAGACTTACGTTTGCAGGTTGGGTAGAGGTAGTACTTGTCTGGGCACGGGGTGGTCAGCTGGAACGTGGTGCGGGCGTTGCAACCCGTCTTGCCCTGCGATTTGAAGGCCTCGCACCAGTAGCACTGCAGGAGAACACCACCGGCAATGCCGTACACACACATGAATCAGGGTCTGCGGGCAACAATCGGGCGGTATACGCGGTATTTCCTTGGCCCGATGAAAAGCTGGCACGGCCGCCTGTGTAAAGTCAGGCGACCAAGCATGGACACGGTTGGTGTTATTGCCAGGGGAGGGGAACAGCGACTACAAGGATAAGGCCGTTGCACACTATGATGATGTAATGTGTGCCGTAATCCATTATTCACCCCAGTGTCTGGAGATTTAATATGTGGATTTTGTAGAAAAAAAAAGAAGAAAAAACATCCCACCCAGCCCAGCCACCTCTGCATGGTTGTGTGTGGTGTTGAACAGTGCATTCCTGATCCCAGTGTACTGACATGCAGTACTCAGCCCTGCCAGATTTGGCAATGTACAATGGGCTTATTCACACACACACACACACACACACACACACACACACACACACACACACACACACACACACACACACACACACACACACACACACCATTGACCATTGGACGCCCATCGCCAGAGGCGATGATAGCGATGCTACAGCAGAAGCCATAGCAACTTGTGCTGGGATTGCACCATTCAACAGCTTGCAAGGCTGAAGAATTGACCACCACTATTCAGCCTGGTCTACACCACACAGCTTTGAAGTGGCTTTTTTCTGGCCAGTGAATCCCTACTTTTTGGTCTTTTTTTTCTTCTTTTTTCCCGCACACACATCACACCACATACTCCGGCATGCACTGGCTGTTGGTAACCACCCAGGAGAATGAAAAAAAAGTCAGGAAGAGTCTGAGAAAGAGAAGAAAGACGTGTGTGACCATAATCGTCGGGAATCGAACCCGCAACCTATCGATTGGAAATCGCTGCACATACCACTGCACCATATGGGACACACACACACATACACACACACACACACACACACACACACACACACACACACACACACACAAACTCACACACAAGTGAGCGTACGCACATCCTTGAAATCCAATTCTATGCAATAATGACATCATCCTGTGAGTTGCAAATACTCATGGTTCACAAACATTTTCAGGTGCTTTGCTGTGTAGCCAACAACACAACCATGGCGTGTAGACCGGGCCGTGAGTTTCACAATCGCACGAACAACTCTGTAACCATGCATATGTTGACTCAGCATCGAAATCATAATGGGCCTTGAGCCTCAGTTGATATTTCAATTATCTCTGACAAAGGGGTTTCTGTGTGGGAACTTGGGAAGGTCCAAGCACGGAACCTTTCACTATCCAGTCAAGTTGGCATCAGCCCAGACTGCAACTGTGACAGGACTGCACCACAACTACTTCAAAAGTCAACGGCTTTTGAACGCAAAGATCAGGCCAGCTGGAGCGAACAGTGAAAATCCGACCATGCATGCCCTAGATCTGCTAGTCGAGTTACATGTACATCTACAATGCCAAACAAATTTGTCGGAGGCTGCAAGTCCAGGAGTCCGGCCGGGAAGATGGGCTTCTGAAAAGTGTAGGGTGGAGCGGAATTACAAAGCGACCACCACAAGCTAATCCTGGTCCTCCAAGTCCAAGGGTCATCGTCAGCCTGGTTCCAGAAGCGTGCCCAATACTACACAGTCGTGGCTAGTATTGCCATCAGTGGAGGACAGAAAGAAATGCATGCACTTGTGTTCGCAGGCAAACGAACACTACGCCAGAAACTTGATATTTGGTGTAGAGTTAGAAAAGCCGGGCAGCAAAAGGGCACCACCACTTACGCCGAAGCTCTTGACGCAGTCTTTGCACGATGTTCTGGTCGTACAATCTGCACGGGGGTTATCAAGACAAAAACAAAAATCGGAGACAGGTGAGGGGTGATCCTGTGTCGAAACCTCAACGGTGCAAGCATCGAGCAAACTCGAGCAAAGCTCTTACTGGAAGCAGCCGAGGCTTCGAGGACGCAGCAAGCTGCCAGGACGGCGAAAGCGAGAAACTTCATTGCCGTCATCGTGTTCTACTCAATCTTTCCTATTTCACCACTCTTCGACTGCCTGAATTGAGGCCCACTACAAACTGTTTGGGCCAAGGACTTCTCAGAGAACCCAACGGCAGCACTGCAAATCAAAGGTTGTTTGCTGCACAAAGTACAAACGGCCAGGCGGTGGACTGTGTGGTCACGTTCCGAAATCTCGTCTGTTTGCATCTTCTGATTACACTACAGTCGACTGGGGTCCAGTCTGTACTGTGGAGTGTGGACGCGCATCCGTTGCTGCTTCGAGCCGTTGCTGCCTAGCCTACATGTACGATACGACCCGTACACGGTACGACCGCAAAGGCCAACGTGCGTACAGACTCAGTGAAAGTCGCTGGGCCATGCATGGGGTGCAGCTGCATGCTGCAGCTGGTGCGGACCCAACCGGACCCAGCTAGCTGTGACTCTGTGCGTGCTGTGACTCTGCTAGCAAGTAGCATGCAGTCACACAAGGGCCTGCGCCTAGGGAGGTTCTGCTCTACGTACACGTGTTGGGAACGCGACGCAAAGAATCACGCGAACTTTCTTCGTTCCCGTAAAGCGTAAAGTAAAGAAATGCTGTTCTGCTTGTAGCTACGTTTCACCTAGAGAAGTCACGTGGAATGTGTACTGGGAATTTTCCCTTCCATATTTGGCAGTTTTCTGCATGCAGTTGATCGATACCCAGCAAATCCGTACGCATTTTCTCTGCGTGTGCCACAACGTAGAGAGACTACCTCATATATCTCCGCGTAGAAATCTGGAGCCAAAACACGCGAAGCCGTAGACTCTAACCCAGACACCTGCTCTGGACCTGCTGCTCTCTACGTTATTTCTCTACGCTTCACGTATAGCAGAACTTCTCAATAGGGAGGTTCTGCTATACGTGAAACGTAGAGAAATCACGTAGAGAGCAGGTGTCTGGGTTAGAGTCTACGGCTTCGCGTGTTTTGGCTCCAGATTTCTACGCGGAGATGGGGTTCTCTACGTTGTGGCACACGCAGAGAAAATGCGTACGGATTTGCTGGGTATCGATCAACTGCATGCAGAAAACTGCCAAATATGGAAGGGGAAATTCCCAGTACACATTCCACGTGACTTCTCTAGGTGAAACGTAGAGCAGAACAGCATTTCTTTACGTTACGGGAACGCGAAGAAAGTTCGCGTGATTCTTTGCGTCGCGTTCCCAAAACGTAGAGCAGAACTCTCCTGAAGTTCTGCTATACCGAGCACCTTACGTAGAGACTTACGTAGCCTAAGTGAAATACCGAGCACCTTACGTAGAAACTTACGTAGCATAGCGATGTCGTTTTTCTTGCCATGTGAACACAATAATAGAAAAGCTGACAGGATCGCTTTTCTAAATGGTGCCTTGCCCTTGGTGGGAGTCAGGGCGTCGTATTTTGACGGCTCCTGATCCTTGGTGGGAGCTCTATCGCGGGAGTCGTCGAATATTTGACTTTTGTACTACACTACTTTTTTTATACACACTAGTCAGAATAACAGATGGCCCGATCAGTCACAACTTCAGTTTGTGAACTTCTTGGATTTCTGCTGGAATTCACAACAGTGTGGATCTGCTCCCGACCCCTTGTTGAGCTCTCTCTCTAGCTCTAGCGGAAAGCCAGCAATGGACTGAGAAGACTGAAGTTGTGACTGATCAGGCCAACTGTTGTTCTGACTAGTGTGTCATGGCTCTACTTTCCCGGTATCGAGCTCTCTTGGATTTCTGCTGGAATTCACAACAGTGTGACTTTTGTATTATAAATTTTGATGACTCCCTGAATGAGTGGGCATGCACTGCTGAGCCAGTACTGGCAGTACATCCTGTCAACATGTCACTCAAGTTACTATGTACTTAGTGGTTTCATGCCGGCATGCCAGGAGTGGTAAAATACAATGGCAATGGCAATGTATTTTACTCCCTGGTTCATACGAGTACTCATTGCTGTACGAGTACCATTACCGGTACTATAGACTCGATCGTACACAATACTACACAAAAAGTCATGCATAATAAACTTCTTTTTTTCGTCTCCAAGCCTCTTGTACGGGCAAAATAAACACAATTACGAGTGCAACCTCAACAGCACCGGAAGAAAAATGAGCAAAAATGGCTGTGAAAACAGTCGAGAGAGCAATGATGGCTGTGAAGACAGTCGAGAGCCTAAATGGCTGTGAAAACAGTCTAGTATGGAGCCTCGGGAGGGAGCTTTAACCGATGCTGCTCATGGCAACCGCAAATCGGGCCGAGTCATTTGCATCTGAGGGCACCGTGCCGATGGCCTAGCAGACTGGCAACAGCAGCACGGATGAGGGCAAAGCTGAGTTTACATCGGATGTAGGAGATTGTGGCAGAGTACGGCTCCTGCTTCTTGTCGGCGAGCATCGATGCCAGCCGAGCATAGAGTGCAGGGCCTGCTCTAGACATTCAACACAGCCCGGTCAGAGTGTACCTGGCGCATGTAGGCCAGCCGGGTCAAGCCGGGTTAGATCATCCGGCAGAAAAACAACCATAAAGCCTGCTCAAAACGCAGGAAAACAGAAAGGCGAATTTATGACCGGAAATCGGAAATTTTAGAGAACAAGGCAAACTATCAAAGTCCGCAAACGTAGAAGGTAAACGACCAAATCCACTGCCGCTCGTCTTCCTTTGGAAATGCGTCTTGCACAAAGCGCATGACATGGATAGACTGGCATGGTCGTAGTCCTGCCAGGGTCACGACCTTTCTTCCAAGAGTCTTGGAAAGCGTGAGTTCTTTTTCTCTTCGCTGCGGGCTCATCAAATCATCAGTCGGCTGAAAACTTGCAACTGTGTCAAAAGCTATAGCCAAAGTTACGCTTTTGACTGCCTGCCCCATCGACTTGGAATGTCCTGACTTCCTGCTCGCCGCTGGCCAGATCGCGCTCGAACCAGTTGACCCCAGTTGACCCTAGTCCCTAGCCGAGTTTCTGTCGCTTGTAGACTCTAGCGTGTACGGTTGCGCTAGATTTGCAACAGATGGGGTCCGCGAGTCGTAAAATACCGGTATTTTAGGAATCCATTGTCAGTTTGAGACATTTTTCAGCTGGGTCAGACTGGACCCGGTGTTTTCTGTTCAGCCAGGTCGTGCAGTTCTCCAGCCGGGCGCGTGACCCGGCTGACCCGGCTCTCCAGCAGGCCCTGGAGTGCTGTCGCAGCTTTGCCATACCCTCCAGTGCAGGACAAGACAACTGGTGAGAAGGAGGCGTGCTCGACGTTGGTGATCCGTTCCTCGTAGCGGCGACGCTTCTGCTGCTCACTGTGTCGCTTGTACACAGCGGGCAAGGCAAACTAGGCGTTGGTGGGGGCGTGGGGGTTGAAAACCCGGACATCAAAGTACGAACGCTCGTACCGACCTCCCCAGACTCCACTGGCACCGATGTCCAGGCGGGCGTTGTCTTCAGTTGAAGCCGACCGTAGCGTCATCCTCTCACCTGTCAGCAGCTCTAGCAGCGGTTCCACCACAACTTCGTGCGCAACTTCCTTCATGATGGATGCTGTGAGGTCGCGTACCTCGCTGTGGCGGAGGCTAGGGTAACCGCCGGCTGAGCAGGAGAGAGCATGGGCCACGGTGAATGATTTACCACAGCTGCAAGCAGAGGGCAACCGCTTCAGAGGCCAGCCATATCGCAATGAAACCGCATCGTGAAATGTGCTCTTGGATAGCATGAAGCCAAACATCTTAGTGGTTTGCATCATCAGTGTCAGCCACGACGAGGCACCCTTCTCCGCCGCCAGCTCCCTGGACCGCTTTAAGATGCTCTCTTCCACAGCGACTAGGGTCTCCTTCTCCTTTACGGAGTAGATCCTACGCACCTTCGCCTTCTCTGCCTTCATGGTGTGGTGAACATCACCTACAACTCACCTACGTGTTTTGCACGATGATCCGCTCCACCAATGGCTGCGTGATGGTCCGGAGTCATCAAACTGGCTGGCGAGGTCGCACGTACGGGTTGATTACAACCAGGGAGTCGTAAAATACCGGTATTTTACGACTCCCTGATTACAACAAACAGACTTGTCTCTTTTTTTGCGAAAAATCCCCGATATCGTGGATTTTCGAGAGAACTAGTGCGCCGCGCCGGCGCCGCGCGCGCGCATCGACGCGTCGTTTCACGTCACTCATTTTCACGGCACAAAAAGGGGAAAAAATTCAAAAACAAATCCAGGAATAACACACAATGCATGATGTATTTCAAAAGTCGAAACTGCAATTTAATTATGGAAGAGCTGACACGAATTCTCGAAGTAAGCTTATCATTTCTTGAACCCCGCGGCCCGGTCGGCACATTCATTCTTCAGCGTTCAAACATGTGTTTGAGGAGAACAAGACGATCTCACTAGCTAGCTAGCCCTGGCCTGGACAACAGAGAACTCCAACTATCTCCCATCAATTTATTTTTCATGATTTTTTTAATAGTTGAAGTCCCTGCCCTGTACTGACTTTGTGCACGATCGGGCCTTGGCTGCGGTATTGGATCTCTTAGCGAGTGTTCTGCTGGCAATGGCGACGGGCTCGTATGTTGCCCTACGCCTGAACTGCAAGCTTGGCAAGTTGTCCTCACCGGCCTGGTCAGGACGAGGCGTACTTGTACGGCGATTTTCTGAGGAGGTCAATTCACGTGACGCGAGTCTCCCTCCTGATAGTAAACCAGCAGGTGACGTGACAGAGGAGAAGCCAGCTGAACAATGGCCGACCTTGAATACACCAACTCCTGACCAGGTAAGGCGTGATCCACCGTTTCATTTCCGTCGTTTTTAAGTGCGCGAGCGTGTGCACGTGCGTGTATTTGTGTGCGCACCCGCGCGCGCGCGCGCGCGCGTGTGTGTTGGTGATGGTATGTGCGTGTGCGAGTGTGTGTGCGTGTGTGTGCGTCACATGTGTATGTATGTCAGGCCCGCGGGAACCGTTGCGGTCGGTCAGGCTATTACCGAACCAACTTTTGCCCGCCAACACTTGTTTCCTACTTTTGAGGGCACGTGTACCCGCCTTATCATACACAACGGATGAGAGGCCGTCGTGCTACCGGATCAATCATAAACTGCTTCCGCCGGTCCTGCACATGCATTTGTACGACAGTAGAACCTGTCAAGGCGACCGCTCGGACAAGGAGACCACCTGTCCTAAAAGGCCACTGAAACCAAGACCAAGGGATGCTATTTCCAGTCAAAGGACCCTGGATAAGGAGACCACCTGGTAACAGAGACCACGTTTTGAAGGTCCCTTGAGCGGTCGTCTAAGAGAGGTTTCAGTGTACAGTAAAACCTGTCAAGGCGACCACTCGGATAAGGCGACCACCTGCCCTAGCAGACCACTGCAACCAGGACCAAGGGATGCTATTACCGTCAAATGTCAAATGACCCTGGATAAGGAGACCACGTTTAGAAGGTCTTTTGAACGGTCGTCTTTTTTATTTATTTTTTATTTACTATGTTCACACACCCAACTCGTAAACGTTTTAATGAAAGACAATGGTACTGAGTCGAGGACAAACGTGACAACTACTGAGAAGGGGCTTAGACAAGTTTCACTGTAGTTGCTTCTATAGACATCGTATTTCCCAATTATAGAGGTTATACGAATGAGATCGTAATCCGACATCATCATTATTCATTTTTCTCATGCCGTAAAGTCTTGTATAAAAGCCGCACTTGAATAGAAACCGCAATTTTGGGCCCATCAAGTCACACATAAGCCTGGTTTTATTGTTGACATACATCGAAATACCTGTCTTGTATAGAAACCTGTCTCGTGTAGAAGCCTGCAAAATTTCACTAAGAAAGTCATGGAAGCCGCGGCTTTTATACAAGACTTTACGGTATCTTTCTCATACATATTCATATCGCAGATTTCTCGTTTTTGGTAGGAATTGGAGAATCCTCTCTCCGGTGAGAAGGCAGTATTGCCTGTGCCCTGAGCGAATTGAAATAAAAGAATACAACGTATCATGTGGGTGAGTCTGCGGAACAGCTTGTTGGTGCGTGTACCGTAATGTCGCGTATAAAAGCCGTGCTTATTCCTGTAGAAGCCGATGCGAGTGCTAGGCTTCTATTCAATTCAGGCTTCTATTCGAGTCAGGCCTCTATTCAAACCACGTACCTCTATGTATGTCAATACTAAAGACGGGCTTATATGCTGACAATGTGTCTTGAAAATCAGGCTTCTATTCTAAAACAGGCTTCTATACGAGACGGGCTTTCACGCATGGATGCAGTTAAAGGGATTTTCGGTCTTTGACCACTTTGTGGTGGGTCTGATCTACCCACCTCCCACCGCTTCAGTCTAGAAGCTGTATCCATGGTATCTGTGCCTTGATCCATAGAGGGTGGTGGCGTTCCTACGGATACGGAAAACTCGGCTTCCAGCCGAGTCTCACGCGGACCGTGAATTTTTTTCATTTTTTTTCATCCAAGATACTACATATGTGTACAGCTTATGGCCCTTCGGTAAGCAGCTCCAGCCGGTGGTTTCCATGGTTTCGCTTCAGCTACTGTAAGACCAGTAGTGTCAACGAACATTTAATTCTAACGAGTTAACAAATTTGAAAGAATCGTTAACGTTTGAAGTCGTTATGTGCAAAGCGATATGTACATGTACAGTCATTTGTCGGTTTTGAGACAAATCGTTAGAATTTCACCTCGCCAACCCACGAAATCCGGAGGTCGTTAACTTTATTAGACGTTAAAATATCCAGTCTGACAGTAGTTCATCTCTGCGCCGTGCGCGGCTTAGCCAAAGCATCTCCACTGGCGATGTCATCTCCACTGGCGATGTCATCGCCTAACCTGTGTTAGTGGTACCCTCATTGTCCGGGGGGGGGGGGGGGGGGAGGTGGGGGGAGGTGATCAGCTCCGTAAGCGCAGGCAACTACAAAGTTCTGTTGCCAGAGGTGTCTTGTGTTACAGTCGGTCCTTTTCAAAACTATAGACGCGCAGGGTTTTTGAAATATTTCAAATTTGGCTGGAACTTTTTGAGAATAGTTTACGGAATATTGCTCAGGACCGCTCCACAATTACTCTCATATAGTTTCTAAACGATTGGATAACAGACGCCCAATTTGGAAAAAATTATGCACAAAGTGATCACAGATTTTATGTGGTATAGATGCTGGCATAACGGTTTTTGCCTAGGTACGCGTCTATAGTTTTGAAATGGACGGTAGTGTTACCTTGCCGTGCTCGTCGTCGTCAGCACGGGCAAGCACGTCATCAATGTCCCCCTGACGGCCTCGCGTGGGTGTTGGCCATTCTGTCAATGTTTTCTCCGGCTTACTCATGATACGAGCAGTCGGACAGACTTTGAACCCCCCCCCCCCCCCTTACAAAACGTCGTTTCTAGAATGTAGTTATTAATTTGTCGATCTCCTCTCTCTCTCTCTCTCTCTCTCTCTCTCTCTCTCTCTCTCTCTCTCTCTCTCTCTCTCTCTCTCTCTCTCTCTCTCTCTCTCTCTCTCTCTCTCTCTCTCTCTCTCTCTCTCTCTCTCTCTCTCTCTCTCTCTCTCTCTCTCTCTCTCTCTCTCTCTCTCTCTCTCTCTCTCTCTCTCTCTCTCTCTCTCTCTCTCTCTCTCTCTCTCTCTCTCTCTCTCTCTCTCTCTCTCTCTCTCTCTCTCTCTCTCTCTCTCTTTCCTGCAGGGTACTGCGGTCCCATATCAACCTGGTAATCGGGACAACTTTGCCGCTTCACCTCGTCGCCGCGGATTGCCGGCTCAACGTGTCAAGGCGCAACAACAACAGCATCAACAACAACAGCGGCAGCAACAACAACGACAGCAGCAGCAGCAGCAGCAACAACAAAATGTGCAGCAGTCGGGTCGTCAACAGCGGTCACAAGGACGATCACGCGAGGAGCAGCAGCAGTGGCAGAAGGCAGCCCAGTTACATCAGGATCTGTCCCGGTATCAGCTGCATCCACCCGCGCCAGCCAACGTTTCTCGTCCGGCCGATACCAGCTCTGCTGCTGCTGCACTGCGTGGCAACCACATTCAGCCGAGAAGCAACACAGGCAATTACACAACTCCCTCGTCCAACATGGCTGCTGGACGCCAGCCCGTTGCCGGCGGTCGTTTCGCGGCGCTGCGTTCGCGGCGCCCTAACCATGGCGTATTGCCTAGCAAAACGGCAGTTTCTGGTGTGCTGCCGGGCCAATACGCAAACTTTGCGTCGCCTCGAGCGCACGTTGTTCAGGAGCTGGAGTCGAAGAAGGAAAGCACACCACAGGACGGCGCTGTCGCTATCGCAACCGGTTCTGAGCAGTCGCTACGCGCTGCCGACTTGTTCCTCAACATCGACAGTCTCGGTTTGGCCAGCTCGCGTGATGTGCACCGCGCCGACTCTACGGGCAGCGATACTGCAAAGTCGGAGGTGTCGTCGTCGTCGGCGGCGGCGGTGGCAGTGGTGTCTGATGGTGAGCTGTGCACTGACTGGCCAGCAGAGTACACCCAGTTACTGTACCCCCTGGAGGAGAAGGACGCCTCCTCGGCCGCTGGCGGCGGTGGTGATGCAACTGCTGGCCAGGTAGACGCGGATGCCGCGCTGTCGCGCCTGACCAAGGGCGCGGGCCTGCCGAAGCTGCTGAGCACGCTGCGTGCACTGCCCGTGCCTCTGGTCCCGGCCGTGCACACCGTTCTCAGCGCCATCCAGGAGAAGATTACAATGACCGTCAGCCACCTGGAGTCGGCGAACGCCATCCCTTCGCCTGGCGTCAACCCTCGGTCACACGCTAGCAGCAGTAGCAGCAGCGGCGGCCGTTCGACAGCCTCTCTCTCTGCGTCGTCGACAAGCGGCGACGGTGGTGGTGGTGGTCTCCAGCTGGACAGCTTGATGGCGGGCCTGCTGTGCGAGGAGTCCACTTCCGACGGCGGTGGCCATCGTCAGGTCAACACGCTTGCAGGTGGTGATGGCGGACTACTCACGGATGTGAAGGATGGTACTGTTGACGACGCAGCAACAGCAGCTCTGCAGCAGCAGCACCTCGACCAGGTGATGTCTGGTGGTGATGGTAACGCCGCGTCATCATTATCCTCCACACTCTACACCGTCGACGACGCCCTGCACACCGCAGAGTGTCTCTATGGCAACAACGGCGGCACCGCGGAGGCCGTGGCTCGTCTCCATGGCGACCATCCACTGCATGTCGTCATGGCGCGCTGGCTGATCTGGACGTGCAGGCAGCACGGCGACCGAGAGAACACCGGCAACCACACCACCACCACCACACGTGGCAGCGGCGCCGGCGAGGAGGGGGAGAGTAGCTCTCCGCACGTCCGCAGCCTGTTCCTCCTGGCGCGTCTCCTTCGCTCCACACCACTTCCAGCGGACGTTGTGCGCCTGTCGCTTGCCGAAATCAAGGAGCGCATAGACGTATGCATGTGCGACAGTTCACTACAGCGAGAACTCTTTCTGGCTCTCTCGTCGCTCGCCGGAGATGAGCCGATGGCCCGGGAGCTGATCGAAGAGATCGACTCTAAGCTAGCACACAGCGTTTCCCAGCGCACCAAGTCCACCGCGGCATGGAGTGGCACGGGAATGGTCGACCTGTTCCAAACGGCGGAGCATGGCCAGCCCAGCGCCGCCCCATCAGCACCAATGCCCCCCGCCGACACGGCACCCCGACGTCGCGCGGCTAGAACTGCAGCGCCCGAGCGTGATCAGCCCGACGCCTGGGAGAGTCTCGCCGGTGCCATCTCGCTGCCACCCTCGGCGGACAGCAGCGCGATAGCGAAGAATAAGAAGCAACTCAAGAATCGAAGGGCTAGAGCTAAAGCGCCCGCGCGTCACCAGTCGGATGCCTGGGAGAGTCTCGCTGGCGCCATACCACCACCCTCGGGCGGCAGTAGCACAAGAAAGAATGCGGAGAAGAATCACCGCAGGCCGGATCGTCAGTGGTCGTCGCCTGGCCCGCAACCCCACAACTATAACACTGGCCATCAGCTGATGCAGCCGCCGTCTGCTCCTATTCGCCGCTATTACACCGTCACTTCCCTCGCCGCCAGCAGCACGGCACGCATCAGCGTCGGCAGCACTGCGCTACGCTCTCGTTCACCGGCCAGTGGCAATCACACGTCGGCCCTCCGCATTCCACAGCAGCAGCGCACCCTATCGTCCACTTGCTTCGCTTCCCAATCGGCAGCTGCGGCGGTGGCATCTACTCCAGAACTGCTGCCGCCTTTGGATCAGCACAGCACTCCGGCGTCCTCTGCCGATTCTTCCTCGGCATCGGCAACATGGATGCTGCTCTCGATAGCTGAGCTTGCCGCCTGGCCCTCGCCTGCCAACTGCAGTCAACTGCTGAACTTCTTCAGCGATGGTGCTGCTAGTGGTGGCCATGCTGCTAGTGAGCATGCTGGTAGTGTTGATGCTGCTGGTAGTGCTGCTGATGCTGCTGCTAGTGACTACGGGCATCATCGTGCGCTTTTCGCAACCGCCCGCCGCAAGCTAGAAGACGCTGGCGTGCCAATGCTGGATCAGCTGCACACGCTGAGTGCCATGTGCCAGCACGGTCATCTTCATCGCTCCACTGCCGACATGTGCGACTTCATCACCTCGCTGAACAACGACGTTAAGCTCAGCGTCGCCGACAGTGTTGACTTCCTGCGCGGAGTGCTGACCGGTCGACGGGCAAAGGGCAAGCAGGCCGTCGTGTCGGCCTTGTTCTCTCGCCACGCGGCGGACCCCTCGGCGCAGCTCTCTCTGCTCTGCGCGCTGACGACAGCATCGCGGCACGGCGATGACATCGTGTGCTCTGACACGATCATGTCGTCCGCGCTATCGCCGTCCGCCGTCGGCAACTTGCTGCAGCAGGTTAGCATTGTGCTGCGCTGTGCCCGTGGTGCTGGTAGCGGTGGCAGCGGCGGAAACATACGCGTCGCCGAGCGCATTCTGGCCGTGCTGCGGCTGAGACGCGGTTACCACAGCAGCGCGAAGGCGTGCCACGCCAACGACCTGGAGCGCGTCTTTGCCACGATTGTGTCGTGTCAGCGTCGTCATGGGTGCTTACACCTGCCCGCCAGCCTGCTCACCGACTTCCTGGCGCTGTTTGGTGCCGACCGCGCCAGCAGGTTTGGCGGCAACCTGCACCTCATGTCCAGCGCCGTGGTCCTGACCCGTGCCATTGGCGAGCGGCTGAGCGAGCTGACGGCGTCTCCGCACCACCTCGCCCAGGTGGTCGGCTTTGCCGAGATTGCCGTGCACTTCGCCGAGGACGTGGACGAGGTGGTGCGTCGTGTGCTCGCCCCGCTGCTCCTGCCGTTGGCCGACGTGCCGTTGACGCTGCGCCAGGCGGAGCCTCTCGCCGCTCTGCTTTGCGAAGCCTCACTACCGCCGCTCGTCAGCGCGTGCGAACGCGTGGTGGCGGGAAACGGCTTGGTCAGCATCTCACCCATGCACAATGACGACGACGACGACAGCTTTGAGCACCGCCGAGACGAGGCCGACACGGCGTGCACGCAGCTGTTCGAGTGGCTGTCGGTGCACCTGGCCTCGGCGGACCCGTCCAGCTTGACGCTGTCGCACGCTCTCCACATCACGTGGGCGTTTGCGGTCGTCGCACGCATGCCACCACCCGATGTTTATCGCCGGCGTTTCGACGCTATCACGCTGGCCCCCTCCGCGGAACATCGCAAGAAGATGGACACACGACTGCGCCTGATGTTTGGGCAGGTCTGCAGCACAGCCGTCAGCAATCCTGCTCTGGGTTTGAGCGTCCCGGAGCACGTTGGCCGTGCGGTTGCCGACTTGTACGAGGAGACGGTGTGCGCCTCACTGTCCCGCCCCTACGCCAGTGAGTTGAGCCAGCACGTGAAGTACGAGGAGACATCGCTGGTCGCGCGCGTCCCGGCGCTTGGCACTTCGTCGTCGTCGAGTGCTGCTGGTGCTGCTTGTGGGACTGCTGGTGGTGTGCGTGTGCTGGCTCTCGACACCACGCTGTGGAATACGCTGCTTTCGAGGCCCACATCTCTGGCTCACCACGTCGTTCACTCGCTGACTGCTGCAGACGAGCAGGTGGCCGATCAGATCGCGAGCGCAGCTATGACGGTTTCGGGTAGCGACACGACGACAACGGTGTGCGATGATAGAGGAACTATGACGTCATCGGGTAGCGACGCGACGATGACGGTGAGCGATGTTAGAGGAACTATGACGTCATCGGGTAGCAACGCGACGACAACGGTGTGCGACGATAGAGGAACTATGATGTCAGCGAGTAGTGACGTGTCAACAATGGCATCCGATGATGACGCAGTACCAATATCATCAAATGATGACACAGCAACGACTGCGTCGTTGAAAGATGACGCACCAATTACACCACCGCCGTCGTCGTCTCCTTTGCCTTTGGTTCTTGTTAGCCTGGCCAATGCGGGCCCGAAGGAGACACTGCAGACCATCTTGGCTGCATGCCGTGCCTGATCAACTAGGACTATTGAACTGCTGGACTACTTGTATCAGCTCTGTTTGGCTACATTGTGTGTGCGCGCGCGTGTATGTGTGTGTGTGTGTGTGTGTGTGTGTGTGTGTGTGTGTGTGTGTGTGTGTGTGTGTGTGTGTGTGTGTGTGTGTGCGTGTATGTGTGTGTGTATGTATGTGTGTGTGTGTGTGTGTATGTGTGTGTGTGTGTGTGTGTGTATGTGTGTGTGTATGTGTGTGTGTGTGTGTGTATGTGTGTGTGTGTGTGTGTGTGTGTGTGTGTGTGTGTGTGTGTGTATGTGTGTGTGTGGCCAGCTTGGACTAGGCGTGCTAACTTAGCTCTGTTTGGCTGCACTGCGTGTGTGGCCGACCAGGACTAGGCGTGTTAGCTGACTTAACTCAGCTCCGTCATCGTGAAGCAAGTGCGCTTCGTACGGTAAATCTGCCGTGCGTTGCTGCACGTGAAGACAGGAACGTGCACGGGCCGCACCGGCGTCTTGGCCATGTGCCTATGCCGGATCATGTAGACTGTACGTGCGCGCGCGTGTGTGTGTGTGTGTGTGTGCGCGTGTGTGTGGGTGTGCGTGTGTGTGTGTGTGTGTGTGTGTGTGTGTGTGTGCGCGCGTGTGTGTGGGTGTGCGTGTGTGTGTGCGTGTGTGTGTGTGTGCGTGTGTGGGTGTGTGTGCGCGCGCGCGCGCGCGCGTGCATTTGGACGACATCCCGTGTTGATGTGTGTTAACTTTGTTTTGCTTCTGCTGGGAGCTCAAAGCGATGGCATGCCCTGCACGATCGTCAGTTTGCATTTACCCTCTAGTAAACACACCTGTGTTTAAAAACTTTATTTCCACAACTGACTTTTGTTGATACATTCCTGATGATTGTTGGCGGGCAGTATTTCTAAAACGTTTTAAATTGCCAATGCGTCTGGCGTAAAATCTTGCAGAGAATCGCAATATGACCAGGGAGTTGCAAAATTCAGTGATTTTACCACACTTCATTATGACATCAGCACTTCCACAACATGACAAAGAGTCGTAATAATTATATCCACTAGACCACAGGGTGCCCATGCTGTGTGGTGTAGACTAGGCTGAATAGTGGCGGTCAATTCTTCAGCCTTGCAAGCTGTTGAATGGTGCAATCCCAGCACAAGTTGCTATAGCTTCTGCAGCAGCATCGGTATCATTATAATCGACGCCGGCGATGGGCGTCGAAAGGTCAAAAGGTATTGTAAATATTAGGGGTGATCCGGGTAACCCGGGTACCCGTCTGTTTAGCTGCTGATCCGTTAGCAAACGAGTACCCGTTAGTCGTGTACGACGGTATGGTACGTTATAATTAGCTGGCTTGTACAGTCGTACAGTTCGATGTACAGTTTGAATGTGTTGTTGCTAGTTTGATCCTGCTACATATGACAATTTGGACTGTTTTGCATGTAGCGCAGTAAGTGGGCGTGCTGCGGTTGTCGCGATGTAGTGCATTTGCTGTGAATTGCATGACATCGCATGTCCTCCTGGCACGAAATGCGAAAGGCTATTGTATAGCAACTGTTACTATTGGCTGCTAAAGGGTACCCGATAGCCCGCCCGTTAAGCCACATACCCGTTTGTAACCTCAAAGGGTAACCGTTTCACCCCTAGTAAATATTCTGCCTCTCTTCCCATTCGCATGGTCAACTTCCAGGAAGCTGCATTCAAGCATAGTGTTACAGCATTTACAGCAAAGGAAATTCCCCGTCCGGAATGGACAGCAAGTCACAGTGACTACATCATTATTACTGCCGGGTGCTGAAAAACTGTGGGGGGGGGGGGGGGGTCAGCCTCCTAGCCTAGACCGTTCTTATATTCATGTATTACAGTCAATGCACAGTTGAGACAGCGTGCATGCAGTGGTGTGCTATGCTTGGGGACATTCTAGCCTTGACGTTCTTCGGCGTTCCGTTCTGCGGCGCCCGACAGCACTGTACATGTACTGTGGCCACTCGTACCCACACCGCAGATCTGTAGGAGGTGAATTCAAGCAAAGAGGACACCCACACCTCCAGAACAAGGCAGCAAAATAAGCTGGTCCTCACCCTCACCTCCAGAACAAGGCACCAAAATAAGCTGATCCTCACCCTCACCTCGCACATTCTGTTTCGAAGACGTACATGAGAGTCCAATAGGATATTGATCCTCACCGACAGAGCTCTTGTCGGCGCAGACACATTCGAGGAGGAACGGTCCAATCTGTAATGCTAAAATAATAATAATAAATGTCTTCATGTACATGTGGTAGACTTTGGCCAGCTGACCATTGAAGCTGCAGCGATGGACGTGAAAAGAAGGGGCAAACATGTGAATGGTGTGTGTGTGTGTGTTTGAAAATATTTACCGTATAACAATTATAAAATTACGTGCGTATGTGTGTGTGTGTGTGTGTGTGTGTGGTTGTGTACGTACGTGAATGCGTTTGCTTAGGCATACAGTACTCGTGCGCGATTCTAGTGCCTCTGGAGGGGGGGGGGGGTGGCGGGTGGGGGGGGGGGGGGGGGGGGGCACACTATTGTTTCAAAGTCCATCACAAGTGGGGTACTAGTTGCCAGGGCACTGTTTTTTGGGGTACTAGTTGCCAGGGCACTGTTTTTTGGGGTACTAGTTGCCAGGGCACTGTTTTTTGGGGTACTAGTTGCCAGGGCACTGTTTTTTGGGGTACTAGTTGCCAGGGCACTGTTTTTTGTTGCAATGCTGGGTCATGCGGCCTAAAAACAAAGAGAGGGAATAAAGAACAGATTCTAAACTATCAGTGCCCGTTGGCCTAAAAGCGAAGTAAAGTCCGCACGAGTACCGAACTGGTGAGATAGACGTGAAGCACGACTGCACAGAGACTCCAACAAGAACTGCGGTCTTCAGCATGAAACCGCCGCCAGTGCTAAGGCCAGGGGGTGGAACGTGTAGAGATATTGACCGAGACGAGGTCTATATGGGAAACTGGATCACAAGAATTAGTGCAGGGAGATATACAAGAGGGACAAATACCGTATTGTATATAGAGAGATACCGTATTGTATTACATGTACGCCCTAAAACATGGAGAAGAACACCATCAGAATAACACCACCATTGAACATGCTCTTGACTACAAGCACGAGCACCATTCAAGAGAGGGCGCTATTCTTCACTGGCTCTCCGAGACTGGGCGCTTCTATCCAAGACGGGGTCCTAATCGCCGGGCTACAATTATCTTTTAGAATGTACACGATCATGAGTGTTGTCGTGGCGACGCTTCTCATGAGACGGACATGGACCCTTGCTTTCTCTGGTCCAGACTGCACAGGACGACCACTACGATCTGTGCGGCGAAAACAAACGAGCATTGCCATGCATGGGCGCACGCATACACATACACACACACACGAGGACACACGCACACGCAAGCACAGCGAAGCATTTGAGATTAACATTAATATATAAATACTAGTAGAAAGGAAAAGGACATATGGAAACGAGTTAAGAGTAACTCTCCATCACTGTAACTAGATACTATATACAGTCAGAAAGTGCAACAACTAGGCACTCGTTGTTGCACTTTCTGACTGTATATAGTATCTATTTACAGTGGTGGAGAGTTACTCTTAACTCGTTTCCATATGTCCTTTTCCTTTCTACTTTTATTATTGGCTCAATACCCGAGTTTCAAATATAAATAATAATAATTATAATGACTGCTACGTGTTGCACACCGCGAAGAGGATAGGGAGAACAGGTCCTGGGAACGAATGGTCAGTGGGTAGGAGACAGCAAAGAAATAATGAATACAGTTGAACATCGAGTATCCGACCACCTCTGGGCAGCGAGCACTGGGAAGGTGTTCGGGTAATGAAAATGTTCCGGATAAGGAACATCTCACCACAGGCCGATGCCTCGAACGTGCAGCAGTGTCTGTTGATGACCAGCATCGTCGATAGTCAAGGGTGATGGTGGTGGTGGTGGTGGGGGGAAGCTGAGCCATGCATTGAAGAACAATGTTGTCAATTTCAAACTGTGACGGGGTTGCCAGAATTTCAGGGATGAGGGGGGGGGGGGGGGGGAGCGGAATGGCCCGCTGCATTCCGTACCCAGGTAACCCTGGTCCAGTAGTTGCAACATGGGTCGTGCAGTGTCAGCTAATAGAAGAGGTTGGCGGCGGCATGAGTAAGATCGAAAGCCGATACTTAGCAGGCTTCTCCAGTCAGTCAGAAAAAGCAGTGCCACCACTATGCGTGTCACCATTCCCAGGGGGTAAGTCGTTGTACAACGCCACACAGAGCAACAAGGTACACGGCTAGTTGGTCATGAGTTTCATGCTCACCAGGAAACAGTGAGTTTAACCAGACTAGCTTTGTGCCCCATTGTTCTGTGTAGCATTGACACGTTCTGCCTCTGCGGTATCCGGCACCACTTCCAGCACACTGGCAGTGCACCCCCTGGCAGCTATGCTAAACACGTAGTAAATCTCTCCTTCCTGATATCCCTTACCCAAGACGCCATTCCAATGAAGCAGAAAGCAATGGCGCTCTGTCCCGACACGGCACCGTCGTTGAGCTCGCGAACAACCCGCTCCTGTCGAGGGCTGTTGGCCGCCCATTCCTGCAAACATGTGAGGGGGGAGAGATGGCGTTACAGAGAGAGAGAGAGAGAGAGAGAGAGAGAGAGAAAGAGAGAGAGAGAGAGAGAGAGAGAGAGAGAGAAAGAGAGAGAGAGAGAGAAAGAAAGAAAGAAAGGGAGAGAGAGAGGGAGAGAGAGAGAGAGAGAGAGAGAGAGAGAGGGAGAGAGAGATAGAGAAAGAATGAGCGAAAGAACGAGAGAAAGAGGGGAGAGACATATTGATGATGACAGAGAGGGAAAGAAAAGGAGAGACAAACATCAATGGAGAGAGAAAAATACCCCCCTCCGGGCTAGTAACCAAGTGAGTGCACGTGCACATTTGGTGTTCTTTTGCTAATGTACGTGTCCATATCATTTTCACTGGTGATTTCAGGATCAAAATCGCAGTTCTTGCTGCCGTTCCTATTGAGTCGTGATAGTTTACAACAAACGTTTAGGCTCTGTTTTTCGTCGTATTCCTTGTTCTTAGGCCACCCTTTCTTTTTTCGTTGTTTAACGTCCGCGCCCGCGTACCTTTTTGCCTCCGACCGGAAAAAAAAACAAGAAAGTAGTAGTACCAATAATATGCGAAGTTGTAAATACATGATTGTGTAGTTCTTCTTTCACAGTGTGCCGATCATGACCTTAAACTTACAGTATAATCTTGCCTCCCGGGCATGCCTTTGTCTTGTGTTCTTTTTCTTTTTTTGTTGGCTTTTAAATATCGTACGGTGTGTGACCTAGTAAAAAACCAGATGATGGTAATGAATTCATGACATGCTATCTCCATGCTATGTACCTGTTTTGTTGGATTCATCAGGCATGTGCTCCAATGTACCATCAAAGAGTGTTGTTCTATGCCTGCAAGTTCCGTTAGACCCAGAAATATTGTATATATCACATGCTTTACTGGTCAAAATGTTTGATTGGGGTTTCCAGTTTTTGGAATGGGCTTTTGTTTTTTTTCCGCCCTCCCGCGTACCTTTTCGCGAAAAAAAGGACGTTAAACAATGAATTAACAAAGGGTGGCCTTATGCTGGATGACGTAAACGTACCAGCATTGAAAAAATAGTGCCCTCCCTTGAATTATGCCCCATCTGTGATGGACATTGAAAAAATAGTGCCCCAGAGGCACTTATCGCGCGGTTACGGTGCTTCCAAGTAAACTGATAATTAAATTTTTAAGTTTTATTCCAAGCAATACATGGCTGGGGTAGCCAATGACCACGTGGCGTGGCGATTGCAGGGTTGTTGTAGCCAACCATGGCTGATTGGCTGCCAACCCATGAAGCTCTGGGTTACAACAACTAAACTCTTTTTCTTTGGGTCCCGTACTCTGGCCATTACAGGCACTGAGTACTCTGGCCATTACAGGCACTGAGTACTCCAGCAGGTTAAGTCACAATTCCTCTGTACTTCCAAATCACTAGAGTGAAACACACGAGCACACCTCCTCCCTACTCCAACTCCAAACACAAACACACAGACACAGACACAGACACAAACACACAGACACACACCATGTACCACACACGCACACATAAACTCACCAAACACACACACATACACACAGGAGCACAGACTCACCGCCTCAAGAACTCCGAAGCAAACCAGCGACGCAAACGCCATGAACGCCGCAACGATAATAGACACCAGATTGAACGTCTTGATGCGCTCCTCCTCGATCTCTAGCAAGATGAGAAAGTCGGCGAACGCTAACAAAACACCAAAGACCAGACCTAGAGCTCCGACCGCTTCAGCGTATCGACACGCTGCGTCCACCTGGTTGTAGATGCACACTTGCGTGTCGAAGAAATTGTCCGTCACGCGTCCGTTCGCGGCGATGATGCCCATTAGGATTGTGCCAGAGAGCTGCACAAAACGTATACAGAACATACCGCAGGTTTACGGCCAACACAACACCGGTGGAAGGTTAACTCTGAACTGATGTCTACGATCAGAGCGGCACAATTAGGTTTGTTGTCACCTCTCGTGCTCTGAACCGATGTCTGCTATCAGAGCAGTACAGAGATTTTGTTGCCACCTCTCGTGCTCATGAGCTGCGGCAGACAGCACACAGGATATCGAGGCGGAGTGGCCTTTGCACTAAGGCATTTTCTGGAGTATAGGCCACACTGGAGTATAAGCGACACGCAGATTGTTTTGCCACGAAACACAGACATCGGCCATGTTTATCACCGTGAATTTGACCATCGTAGTATACGCCGCACCGACTTTTTCGAACATGTGTATACTAGTACCCCCCCTCCCCCCTCCCCCCCCTCCCCTCCCCCTCCCCCCCCACACAAACACAGTTCTACTACATGTACAGTCAACTGTGCGTATGACGACACTCGGCGGGAGCATCAGAAAAGTGTCCTTATTCGCGAAGTGTCCTTATACCCGAAGTCTCATTGTATTTATGTATTACAATTAGATGGGACTTTGCTCTGGGCATGGAAATTCTGTCGCTATTTGCGAATTGGCGTTATATCCGCCCACTCCTGCCATTCCATATGTCTCATCGCTGCCTTGATGCTTTGCGCCGTCAAATGGTGTGTGTTTTTTTGTAAAAAGAAAAAGTCGTTATTAGCAAAGTTGACTGTAGTTCCACAGGCTCCATTTCTATAGTGACATCATTCCGTACGCACTCGGATAACACGTCCAATGGACGTGCAACGTTCATGACACAGGGGTGAAGAGCGCATACAACCGTGTACTTTTTCGACGGACTCGGGTGAAATGTACCACCGTTATAGGATGCGATGTTTTGGTAGTGTTGCAAAATGGAAGCCTCTCCTCAAGCACTTTCATTTCTTGGATGAAGTCCATGTCTTAAGTGGGTATTATCAAACCAGATACATTGGGACCTGGCTAAGCCAATCACTCAAGGGACCTTGCAAATGTGGTCCCCCCCCAGCCCTGTACAGGTCAACTCCTTAGGGCGCGTTCAGACTATCGTGAATCCCGTCAAACCGTGAATGCCGATAAACCGTGAAGGACATTCACACTACCGATAACAAACTAACGTTTACCGTGAAGTTTTCAGCTCTCACCGCGGCACTGACAAGGGATTTTCCCTTTTTTCCCAGCGCGCATGCAGCAAACTAACGTTACCAGTACAGTCAGATCTCGCTTATCCGGTCCTCGTTTATCCGGATCCCTCGCCATCCGCAAGAAAAAAAGCTGGTTACATATTTACAGCAAACGTGATGCATCCAACATAAATGGTGTTCGGTTATCCGGTTCACTCGCCTATCCGGATATTTTTTTGGGAAACGGATGTGTGGCGGTTAAGCGAGGTCTGACTGTACGTAAGTTTTGCAGCTCTCACCGCGGCGCTGAGAAGGGATTTTCCCATTTTCCCCAGCCTGATCACTCTTTTTACTGCCGGAATGCAGTTACTGCCGCAGCAGCCGGGGCAGTAAAACCTTTTCGCCGGTAACGTGCCAGTAACGTCACGTGATCAAATCACCTTGGAAACTTTCCCATTCCGTCACTTTTTATCGGTAGTCTGAACGCGCCCTAACCCACCCTGGTTCTTTGGGCTGGAAATAGCATCCCGTAGTCCTGGTTGTCGTGTGCTAAATACGTGTGTGCTTGTGTGTGTGTGCGTGTGTGTGTGTGTGTGTATGTGCGTGTGTGTGTGTTTGCTGGACTCCTCCTGACTTTTCTTTCATTCTCCTGGGTGGTTACCAACAGCCAGTGCATGCCGGAGTATGTGGTGTGATGTGTGTGCGTGAAAGAAATGAAAAAATGAAAAAGACCAAAAAGTTGGGATTCACTGGCCAGAAAAAGCCACTTCATAACTGTGTGGTGTAGACCAGGCTGAATAGTGGCGGTCAATTCTTCAGCCTTGCAAGCTGTTGAATGGTGCAATCCCAGCACAAGCTGCTATGGCTTCTGCTGTAGCATCGCTATCATCGCCTCCGGCGATGGGCGTCCAATGGTCCAATGGTGTTTGCTGGGAGGGGGGAGGGGTGATATTAAATTTTGTGTGTGTGTGCTGGGAGGGGGAGGGGTGGTATTTTGTGTGTGTGTGTGTGTGTATGTGTGTGTGTGTGGGGGGGGGGGGGGGGTGTATGTGTGTGTGTGTGTGCGTGTGCGTGGGTGTTGGCTTGGGGGAGGGAGGGGGGGGGGGGGGTAGTATTTGACTCACCCACTCTACACATATCCACACTTTGAAGCATACACGTGTACACAGTATCACATGACTGCTCTGTAGATTTCATTTGTAGCTTTCCACAATTCAGTTATCAGTTTAGTGTGACGTTCTTCTAGCACCATACCTGTATACCCTAACGAACAGAGTTCCACTGCCAGGACTTTGTAACCTGACACATGGCGGTGTGGCAAGGGTGGAAGTGAGCATGGAGGAGTGTGTGTGTGTGTGTGTGTGTGTGTGTGCACATGTGTATGTGTGTGTGTGTGTGTGCACGTGTGTGTATGTGTGTGTGTGTGTGTGTGTGTGTGTGTGTGTGTGTGTGTGTTTGTGTGTGCACGCATTCGTTTGTGCCTGTGCACGGGACGGAGAGCCTCTAACAAAGCTAACCGATAAATCAAGTGTTGTCCACATGCGTGTGATTGAATGAAATAATTGCGGATCCCTCCGAGTAAAGCGACTAAAGCTCAACTCACCAAAGCGACGACACGGGCGATGATGATAGCGATTCTTCCTTTGGCTGCCATGATGGCCTCACGGCACAATCACAGCTCTCGTTAGCGTACAGTGGGATCGGCTGCGGACTACACACTCGCTTCTTGCACACGCACTAAATGTGCCCGCAATGAACACTTCTGTTCGCGACCGTATTAGCTACGTTGTCGTTGACGTGCCGAGAACTCAGCTACTACTACTAAGATTTCAATCGACGTCGTGTCGCTCACTCGTGCGAAGGACCAAGCGTTCATGAAGTCCCGTCGTCGACAGCGTCACATTGAGCACTAGGCGGTCCGGTGTCTGCTGACAACACCCAGCAAGGGAATACATAGATCTACGAATTATTTTGTTTTCTTTGCTTCACTGACTGTGCATGTGTCGGACTTATCGATATCGGGATCAGAAAATGATCTATGACTATGGCTTGCATTTGAAAAAACTCCCGGGACGTCGTTCGTAAGCAGGGACCGGGAGTCGTATACGACTCCGGCTCCCTGTTCGTAACTAACGTGGTGAGGTTTTGCATTCCGAAATTCGGCAAAAAGATTCGGCACGCGGGAGCGAGGTCGAAAATGCACACGAAGATTCGGCATGTTTGTTCGGAAAAAGCTCACTTTGCCGAAAATAATATTTTTCGGATGAATTTTCTTGTAGATCTAGATTTATTCAAAGAGGTTTCTTATCTCGGCATCGCTCCGCAGGCGTCTTGGGCGACATCAGCATCGCCAGCTACCTCTGATTGCTCCTCTCCACCGCCTGTCTACCATTGTCTACTCTCTATCGCCTGGAGTGTCCTCACCGTCATCTGTGTGGCTGAAAAGACTGGCGATACGCATCAAATTTGACTTGGCCATGGAGTTGGTTTTTCTGAGGCGACTGAGGAGGCAGGTTTGGCCCTCGACTCTTTGGGCGATCAAAGTTCGTTGGAATCAGCAAGAAAAGGAGCACGGGACAGGACGTTGCTGATTCTGGGGCTCACGAAATGAAAACACATCATTTTCGACTTGCAAAACAAACGTTGGTGCGAAATTCGACATTTTGATGTTCGACAAATGACCGAAGAACGCCGAACCGAAATTCGGAATGCAAAACCTCACTACCGAGTCTTTACAAGAGCGGTTTTGCGCGACGGACCGAGTCGCGACGGTTCCCCGCCCACTTCTACTGTATACACCAGGGAGTCGTCAAATACCCGCGGTATAATGACGACTCCCTGGTGTATACAGCCATGTACATGACGGTACTGTACTGTATCATGTAGCTACTATTCTAAGCTAGCTACCATGGCTACCGGTAGGTTAGTACATTGTAGGCTAGGTATGTGCATGTCTGGACGTCAAATTTCACACTAACGTCACAAAATATTAATATTGTGCACGGCCTCCTGTCTGATCCAAGACCCTAGCCGGTAGCCCTCTGTCCAGCACAGACTCAGTCTGTAGCTTTGGGCACTGAACTGAAGCCCGAAGATTGATGCGCCGAAGAGCGAACCGAATTTTACCAGGTAGAATCTACAGGTTTCCCGTCTGAACATTGTGCCTAGGTACCGGCCGATTATGCCGGCATGATTATTGGCATAATTTGGTGGTCCAACATTTGGAGCATAATTTGGCATCCTTTGGGAGGTAGGAGCATAACTACATGATTGTACCACGGTTCTAGTATGTAGGCTATACAATTGTGTACAATGCACCTGATCAGAGCTGGTGGCCTGCATGACAAATAGCCCTTTCCCAAAGGTGCTCTTTTAATTCGCACTTAGTGCTTTTCGCATCCCTCAAAATATGCTGAAAAATTGCTCTTTTTTCAGTGAAGCATAGCCATGATTAGGCTCCGGCGGATTATGCCCGCGAAATCATGGAATTATGCTTTCATGGATTCTCGCATTATGCTCGCAAAATCCTCATATTATGCTTTGGCACGCGGGGATACATATTCACTTTGTTGTGTTATGCCATAGTTATGGAGCCCCAAAGTTCGGGAAATTGTGCCCTTTTCGTACTTGCAAGTGGTCACAAGTACAACAAAATACATGAGTATCCCCATACCAAGGTATCCATGCATGCTAGAGATCAACCTGGAAAAGGTTACTTCTTCTATTCATCAGTTGACTGCTTTTGCTTTGAAAGATTTTTTCATTGGGAAATTAGTTTGAGTTACCTTTGAAAACTGTCATGTTCAGCTGTCTTCGTAATCGTCATACTCGTCCAACCGATGTCACCCTAACCCTGCGAATTCTCGTAATCGCTGCTCAGTGAAATCCAGTTGCGTCACTCAAGTTTGTGTCGTTCACTATTTTTTCCTGACCAATGTTCTCAAGTCTAGTGAGGGCTGTGCAGTGCCCGGGGCGTACTCAAGTTCATTGAGCATTGCTATGCTAATATTGCACATGTACAGTCAACTACTTCGCTAATAACGACTGCGGATATAACGACCGTTCGCGAATAGCGACAGAAATTCCCTGCCCAGAGCAAAGTCCCATCTAACTGGAATACATATAATGTGACTTCGGGTATAAGGACACTTCGCGAATAAGGACACTTTCCTGATGCCCCGCCGAGTGTCGTTATACGCACAGTTGACTGTAGGTATAACCAAGATATGTACTCTTGCCGGTATAACCAAGAGTACATAAACAAGAGTGTGCAACTCGCGGATGGGTTGGCCCACGGCGGAATTTTTTGTTGACGTAATCTTTTCGACGACGCACGCGCTGCGAGCCTTTTGGAGAGGTTTCCCTCGTGCACTTGGCCGGGCTTTACACTACAAGGTCGGTGCCCAGCACGTGCTCTCACACTGCTCTGCGGCAAAGTCCGCGTTTCTCTGAAAAAAGGTGACGTCAACAAAAAATTCCGCCGTGGGCGGGGGTATCTGCAGATTGTGCAGGAGAGATCCGGAGTTGCACACTCTTGTTTATCTACTCTTGGTATAACCCATAGCCAGGAGTGGTCGCAAACAAAATCATGAATGAGGGACCTACATGTACATTGTACGTTGTATATCTACATGTACAATGTAGTTCTATGTTGAGTGATGGGAGCAGGAGCATGCGTGCAGTGCAGGCCCATCGGAACTGGTTCAGTTCGTCAGGAAATGGCCGGGCCAACAAAATTTGTTTGGCCTGCAACGTGTGTTTGCTGCTGATGAGGTCATATGTACATGCATACCCTCCATATCATAAAAAAATGTACGAAAACCTGGGGTATGGCTGGACCAATCAACTGTTCCGGCGGTCCTGCACTACAGTGTACATGTATTCCCCAGCCTAAAATCAGGTTTTCTTTGCCCGGGAGTCACAGAAGAGCTATTTGACTTATCTCTTATCCGGGCGGTCGAGGACAGGGCACTGCCCATAACTTTGAAATGTCCATAAATCCGCATCTTGTGGATGTATGTTTCAATGAGGTCGGGTCAGAGATGTGCACAAGTTTTCGTACAACACTCTTCCGGAATCACCATTGTACTAAAGAACAAAATGAGAACAAAGAAAATAATATAGCAATCAGGGTAGGGTGACACGATACAATGACAGCACTGGAATATCGAGGTGCGATTTCTCACAAAAGTGTGCAGAAAACAAGGGTATACAAGTAAGAACTAAGCGTGACAAGTGTGTATCAGCAACAAAAACAAAAAAGTGAGAACGAATGATAATAATAACAATAATAAACAAGAAGGTGACAAAACACATTTAGGCACAAGTGGCAACAACGTTGCCACACTACACAAAAGAACATTATTTGAACAATTTTAGGGTAATAACACTATCTTTCTGGACACACAAATTCGGCTTATGGATGCGCTGACAAACAGCTTCCAAAACTTGTAACTGCAAAAGATAACCATGACGAGCACGGCACAAAACAGAAAAAACAGGAATTAGAATAAGTACGACAACAGTCAGTACTAGAAACCAAATGATTGTATACTGAAGACTTGTTATTACGAGACGGACGCACACAATCTCGACTCACGCGCACACCCTCACACTCACTCTCACCCTCACTCAGCTCACCTTCTCCCTCACTGTCCGAATCAGAACCTGCTCCGTCATCTCCTATCGTTCCACATGTCGCTTCAGCTCGTCCTACTTATTGCCATATTAAAATTATTGTCTCCTCGTCGAATTTTTAAGTAGTAATATAGCTATGAATAAGATGAAGGCCGCAGACATCACGCAACTACGTTACTTGTTTGACATGTATTACTGTGTATTTTATAACAAAAATAATATTGAAAACCCAGAATCGATTTTCTCGTTCCTATCATCAGTGGGAAAAAACGGAACTAAGGATACAACCAAAGAAACTGAAGTTAAGTACTGTAAATAGAAAGGTGTTAGAAATAACATCAAGATACAAGTGCAATAAAACCACTAGAGGAAACGCAAAAAAGGTAACAAGATTACATAACCAAAGGCGAGAAGGCACTGAACGAAGTGTCAACCTACGAATACAACTTCAGTGCAACAACGTGCTCTTTCTGCTTACACAAAACAGGCTAATGAATACGTATGCAAACTGCCTCAAGGACGTTCAACTGCTGGACATAACGCGCACGACACAGTACAGAAAAATGTGAGTCATCATACACACCAAGACAGTCAGGACGAGATAACAAGTGTAGATACACAGCTGACTTCTTGCGATCAACACATTCATCCGCCTCATCTCGCCAAACAAGTAACGTAGTTGCGTGATGTCTGCGGCCTTCATCTTATTCATAGCTATATTAAAATTATTATCTCCACGTAGGTTATTTATTAATAGTAGTAATATTTCCACTATAACTCACCTACAAGGGGCCCGGTAGACCGAGGTGCCCGTAACTTCGAGGTTTGGAGAAGAGAGTTCCAAGTACATACATGTACATGTACATGTACACTTGTTATTATCTCAGCTCTTCGCTCCTCATTCATCCCACCACATCACAATGCATGTCATGTACATGTACATGTACATGTACATGTACATGTACATGTACATGTACATGTACATGTACATGTACATGTACATGTACATGTACATGTACATGTATGTACATGTACATGTACATACATGTACATGTACATGAATGTTACCCTACAACCAGTGTCATGGTAACTGGTGATGTCCGCCCCTACACCCGTACACCGTGATAGGTACATGTACATGTAGAGTGTATGACTGTCATGTTAGATGCAGACATCACCAGTAACTGTTGTCATGACCGGGGAAGTGGGCCAGACATACTCTCAGGATTCTACCATTCCAGGTTCTTTATGGAAATATACCAGGAGTCCAGACACCCATTCCTCACCCTTACCACACAAGAAGACCAAAGCTTCACTCTAGGACTAAGTTC